GGGGGGGATATTGAGCTATCATACTGACGAAGGCATCCCGGCATATCTGCTGTAATATATATTTTGCGCTTCAGTCGCGTGATCTAGGGAGATTGTATTTATATCATACACTTGAAACCTCCTTGTGTTTTTGGAGGGTTGCTTTACAGTTTTGCCATCATTCCTCCCTCTCCTGCCGCCGCCCCTTGAACCAAAATACATTGAAGTTTTCAAAACGCCATCGCTATGAGATTTGATGTTGGTACACTATCCGTCGCGCAGATTTAGTTTTTCCTTCTTCTCCTATTTTCAACCTAGAGAAAACAGTGTGTTTAGAGTGATTTTTTTTTTATAGTTTTTGCTTTCCTCTCGATGAGAAACAAGGGTTGCCGATCCGATCATGAGTGAACCTGCTTGTCGAGCAACTCCTTGGCCTCGTTGACCTTTGTGGCGAGATACGGGCTACCACCGCGGTCAGGGTGGTTGAGCAGCATAGCGGTCCGGTGAGCCTTGCGGACCTTTTCCTTTGTCATGGAGCGTTCGCTGCGATGTGAGGGTTAGCATATACGATGACCGGATCGATTCGCAGGTTGTTCCCCTAGGGACCGAGTCGGATTGAGAATTCGGGAAGGGTTTTGGGGCCTACTTGAGGGCGAGGATGAGAGTTGCCTCCTTCTTGGTCATCTTGGGCTCGAATCCGCCCTTGTAGAAGGCCTTGCCCATGGCTCCGACGCCGCCGCGCGAACGTCGCCAGGCTACCAGACCGGCGCGACCCTGAAAAGGAGGGAAGGGAGGGGAGTTCTGGTCAGCTACCGCATATCTTCAGAGGACGGAGAGGTAGGGGAAGTTGCTTTACCAGAAAGGCGGCGACGGCGGCACCGGCACCCCATGCGATAACAGTGGCCATGATGAAGTAGATTGTTGTCTGTTGATATTTAGGAAAGGATGACGTTGATGGGAGAAAAGCCTCTCAAGGAGAATGAAGGTATGGAGTAATGATCCATACAGGTAGAGGGGAAAAAAGTACCCTGATAGGTTTAGCCGATGTTTTACCCGATACCCTTGGGGGGATGGTGGAGGCCCACTATTCTATCGTTTCTCCATCTACTCACGTAAACCGGTTACTGACGTCGTATTCTGCTCCTCTTCCACGAGTAATACTACGAGCACTTACTAGGTTGCAGATAAGAATACCACGATCTACATCCCATCTGTGCTCCGGGTGGGGGGATAATAGTAAGAACGAAAAAAAAAAAAAAAAAGACGAAAAGAAGATAAAAAGAGCATGATCAGAATGTTATTCTGGCAAGAGAGAGAGAAAGGGAGAGGGAAATAGATGGGATTCAGGTACGAGTACATGTATTCGTCGTGTCGCGAATCTACCCGATTTTCAATGGGAATCGCCCTATTGGGTCTCCTGACGTATCATCATGCAATATGCCGTGTTCCCTCCCCCCCCCCCCCCCCCCCCCCCCCCGTTTCCCCCAACCCGAGAATTTGAAGTGTATCCTTCCCGTTCATCCTAGTCTCGATAAGGGGTGGGGGATCTGTTGGCAGACATGGGTTGTGATAAATAAAACTACTAAATGGGGCGACTACTCGTAATACTCGTATGTGTAGTCTGTACACCCCCTTTCCTTCTTTCCCTCTGCTTTCTTCGCTCCGTCCAGCTCAGACTGCAGTGCATACATGTACCGGATAAGTTGCCTGTTGTGAGACGAGATAGATAAAGGAAGGGAGGGGAAAGAAAGACGAACCATGTCGGAAAAGGCGGCCGAGACGAGGGCACCACTGCTGCTGCACCCGCTGCCTCGGCGGCATGAAATGACCAACGCAGAGAGGCGCTCCCGATTCTGCGTCGTCACTACTACGATACTGGCGCAGCTGGCCGCCCTATTACTCCTGGTCAGCTCTTGGTGGGACTGGTCTCACCGTGTCGACATCTCCCTTGAGTCGACGGCGGTTGAATGGAGTTGGAGCGATGTACGGCAAGACACACACACACACACACACACACACAGAGAGAGAGAGAGAGAGAGAGAGAGAGAGAGATGCGTGTGGGCTTGGCTGATTTTGGATAAAACGCGTGGTTTCGTTTGCAAACACTAGGTCCGGCCGAGTCGGGATCTCGAATGGCAGTCCTGCTACGATGGAATGTTTCAGTGTGCTCGACTAGATGTAGGTCTTTTCGGTCGCGCAGCCGCTACTCCTTCTTGTACCGGTCTGACGATTTCACAATGATACAGGTTCCCATGGACTGGAGGAAGCCGTCAGAGGACAAGCGTGTCGTTCTCGGTGTGATTAAGTTGCCCGCCAAGTCCAAGAATAGCACCGTTCCGCCTCTTCTTATCAACCCCGGTGTAAGACTTGACTCTGACTACTTTTTTTTTTCCTCTCTCTCTATTCCCTCTTTTTCTCTCCAAGCAGCAGAAGTAGGATACTGACTGACCTGTTACAGGGTCCGGGAGGATCGGGAATACGAACTCTGCGCTCCATCGGGCATCACATCCAGACCATAGCCGGAGACTACCATGTAAGACACACCTCTACAAAAAAAAAATTTAAAATAAAATAAATAAAAGGAGGCAGAGTTGCTTTGTCTGACAGAGGAGAAAGGACGTCATAAGCTGGGATCCCAGAGGAGGTGAGTACCACAACCCCCGAAAGATGTAGGAAAGTGCACGTATAATACATGTGCCTGACACTTTTGCCCGAAATCATCTTATAATCAAAACAAAATAAAAAAAGTCGGCATCTCAACACCCAGAGCAGACTGCTGGGCCAACACCCAGAAGCGCACACTATGGGATCTCCAAGAGACGGCCATCGTGGACGAGAGGCCCGGGCTGGTCTATGACGCGTACAGCCGAGCGGCCGCCTTCTCAGGCGTGTGCGAGGAGGCCATGGGCGGCACGGGCATCCTGCGACACCTCAGCACCGCATCGGCGGCGCGCGACATGCTCGAGATCATGGCCAAGTCGGGACACGAGAAGCTTCGGTACTGGGGTTTCAGCTACGGCACCTTGCTGGGCGGTGTCTTTGCCGCCATGTACCCTGACAGCGTGGACAGGCTAGTGAGCGATGGTGAGTCCCACATCCTTCATCCTTGCAAGTGTCCTCCTTCCTCTTCTTTCTCTTTTCTTTTTCTTTTTTTCTTTTCTTTCTCTCGTCAATGTAGTTGACCGGGAGAGATAGGCAACGTAGATTACCTCGACTACTTCGAGGGAGATCGCGCCTCGTTCGTCAAGGACGCCGACTCCATCCTCGACGCCTTCGACGCAGCGTGCCACTCTGTCGGGCCGGAGCGGTGCGCGCTGTGGTCCCCGGAGGGCGCGGCGGGCGTGACGAACCGCCGCGCCGGCGTCATCGAGTCCCTCCGCCAGTCGCCCGTCCTGGTACCTGCCGGGGCCACCGACTCCGGGCCCCGCATGCCCCTGCTGATAACGTATTCGTTCCTGCAGGCCCTGACGCGCATGCTCCTGTACAAGCCGCTCGGCAACGCGCAGCGCCTGGCCGGCATATACGCCGGGCTCGAACGCGGCGACGGCGTGCCGTACTACCAGACCGTCATGGCCATGGCCGCCGAGAGCAAGGACTCGGGCCGGAACGGCGGCGACAGCGGTGGTGACGCGGACGACACAGACCTCCTGCTGTGTCCCCTTACCGATACGCCTGCCACCGAGCCCCGCGAGACGGGAATGGAGCCCGATGCGTTCCCGGCAATCATGTGCTCCGACGCGGCCGTCGTCGAGGACACACCCGCCGAGTTTGCCGGCTATCTCGATAAGATTCTCGGGCTGAGCAGGTGGACCGGTGCGGCGAGTATCAGCTTCCGCCTCGTGTGCGTTGGTAGGACGCAGAGACCGGATTGGAGGTTCACCATCGAGCGTGGGTTCCCATTACCTCTTTCCCATCAATTTTTTTTTTCATTCTAGATTATGTTGAAAGGAGAAGAGAACCACCACCAAAAAAAAAAAAAAGAAGAAGAAAGAAAGAAAGAAAGAAAGACTGACGACGTGGAAAAGCCGACTCGGAGATTGTCACCGATACACCGGTCCTGTTCATCAACAATCTGCACGACAACGTCACGCCGCTGGACAGCGCACACAACAACTCGGCTCACTTCCCCGGGTCCGTCGTCTTGCAGCAGAATTCACTGGGTGTAAGTCTTGACCCTCGTCCGCATGAATATGGAAGTGGCAAGAAGAGGAGATTGACAGCAGAAAACAGCACTGCAGCTTGGCTGCTCCATCATCGTGCACGGCAAGATACATCCAGCGATACTTTTCCGACGGTGCCCTGCCGGACCCTGGAACCGAATGCGAGCAGGACTACGCGCTGTTCGAGACCCCCAGCGAGGACGTGGTCCTCGCGCAGGACGAGGTATCCCGTGCATCTTGGGAGATGTCCCGACGTGGGGATATCTGGTTTGGAAGGGTATAGCATTGATGAGGAGCTGATAAATGGGGGAGATGAAGAGAGAGAAACAAGGAAACAAAAGAGGAGGGGGGAAGGAAGGAAGAAATAGCGGTCTATTATGAATTGCGAATTGCCCTCCAGGTGTGGAGGAACGGAAAGTGCTTGTGGGGTATTACATTACTCTTTTATACATGTAGGAGGACATTATGATTTTCGAGTAATCCTATAAAAAAAAAGAGGCCCTTGCCTACCTTGACTCTTGACTCGACTGTGGTTGTGTATGTATATATGTGTGTGTATGTGTGTGTATGTATGTGTGTGTGTGTGTATGTGTGTGTGAGCGTGTGTGCGTGTGGTAAGCTTTGGCGACATTCAAGGGCCGGTGTGCTTCTCAAAGGCATAGTGCGCTTTCTGCGGCATCTTGAGCCCCTGCTCGACGACATGGCGAACCTTGTCCTCGAGCTCGGCCGTCCTCCTCGACTCCTCGGCCTGCTTCTCGGTGACGGCCGCGTTGGCGGCCCAGTTCCCGGCGCCGCCGCGACCGGAGTGGGCTGCGGGGGCCCTGGAGGCGGTCGGGTTGCGTCTCACGGCGGCGGCGGTGTCCTCTGCGAGAGCATATGCGTCCTCGTCGACCCTGCTGCCGTTGTGGTTGTGATTATGGGGATGGTGGGAGCGGTAGCTTGCATTGCCGCCGTTGCCGCTGCCGTTTCCGTTGCCGTCGCCGGGCAGTATCAGATTCCCCGCGCCGCCTCGACCGGCGCGAGCAGGTACGGTAGGCTGGTGGGTGATGGGCGGTAGAGGTGAGACATGACCGGTCGATGCGGTCTGGTGCTCGGCCGCTTCGAGATCCTGCCAGTATATCATGTGAGTTGTCAGATGCTCGAGTTGTTATCGGGGAGGGGGGTCAAATCAAGAGAGAAAAATAAAAATTGAAAAACATAAAAATAAACGAAAGCATGGGAGATGCATCCAGAGGATAGGGAGGACAACTGACCCTCGATCCTTTTTGTACCTCGTTGACAGAGTAAAAGTTGCCGGCGCCGCCGCGGCCAACGTTGCGAAATGTGTCGTGTGACATTGTCGTGGATGCGTATTATGTAGGATGGTCGGAATGGACGGAGTGTGTCTGTCCTCTCTGCCAGTACATATAAAGCGTGGGGGAGTCGTCTTTGCTTTGGTGCAAAAGAAGCGCTGATCCAGGGGGGGCTGTGTCTTCCTGCTTCCTGATGCACGGGTAGGAAAAGTAGGAGGGGAGGGAGGGAGGGAGAGAGACAAGGGCGGGGAGAGAGTGTGTGAGAGGTTGGACGGGGAGGGGCCTAGAGACATTGTCAATTGACAATCAGATTACGAAAGGTTTTACAGAGGTACGAGGAGTTTAACGTAGAGGGCAGATAGAGTTGACAGGATGGCGCTTTGTAAAGAGTGGCCATGAGTCGTAGATTGACGAAGACGGTGATTCTGGTACCTTGATGCTTTTGACGTCACTACCCAGTTTGGTATTCTTTGGTTTTTTTTTGGTTTTTTTTTTTGGTTTTCCTGAGGAGGGATGAGAGGGGGGGGGGGGGGGGGGGGGGGGGGGGGGGGGGGGGGGGGGGGGGGGGGTGGGGGGGTTGGTTTTGGTGTGACCAGCTAGCTACCCTGAGGAGAGGGGCTTGTGCTTCCTGCTTGCGACAGCACACGATGAACCGGTAGATGTGAATGCAGTGGTCTCGGCCTACTGGTACGTCCTGGATCGATTAGTGTGTGTCTAATTGTCTGATCGAAAGAAAGGAAGGAAACCTATGAGGGCATCTGCAGGTGTGAGTGCGGCAGCAACCCTTGACTGCTTAGTCATCCAATATTAGGTGCCACAGGCTATTGACAACAATATCCGGCCTTCTTTTTTTTTTTTTCTTTTTTTTCTCTTGTTGTCAGATATCTCTGTATAGCGTTTTAGGATGACGAAGTGGGATGATGGATTCTCTCATTCAGGTGAGGGGTGAGACAAATAAAGACGAGCAATTATCATTGTGGTGACTGATGATCGAGGCAGTGTCCGGTGCTCACCTTGCCGATACAAATTCTTACCGCGTGGTTTCTCATAAGATACCATCATATACTCATCTCCCGTGGCATATCGAACGAGCTAGACGTCTCGCTCCCTCTTCATCTTCATCCTAACCCAATCGTTTGCAGCTACGATATACCTCTGCCCTCTCACATCTCGTTTGACCATCTAGGCAGTGTTATACTCCCGTCGGGCTACTGGAGGTCCTCCAATTTTTCCTCTCATGTTCTTCGCCCTACTCAGCCATCGAGCAGAGAGACGAGTGTGCGCATCTGACTCTACAAGAGTGACCCGGGACGCATCCCAGAGACGTGGAGTCACAAGACTATGGCGCCAAGGCCGCTTCGGGGGGAGAACAGTCACGTCTGACTGTCTGTTGCCCGCTTTCCCCGTTCAGATGTTCAGATGGGTTTGTTTCTTTTCCGTGACGTTCACATCTCTCTCCACCTACCTAACAGGTTACCTGTCAGCTGCTGGTCCTCGCCATGGCCAACACCTGACATATGCGTATCGCATATCCTCCCCGCACACGACGTTTTCTTCTTTTTCCTTTTCTTTTTTTTCTAGATGTATATCTTGGTGGGACGTTCAAGGAACGGCTCCTGTTAGTCGATACATTCGATACATATACACGGAGTAAATTTCCTCTTTTCGATGAGCACCAGCCCATGATAAGACCAACACACACAGACGTAGAGCACGAGCCATGACCGGCCGGACCCGTTCTATGAGGCACCCAAAAGAGAGTGTCCAGAGGAAGAGGCACATGGAGGGTCGTAAAATATCCCGCGAATAGGCCGTCAACCAACCATGTGCCAAAGACAGAAGCGCTTGTGTAGGAGACGACCATGTTGTGCAGGCTGCAGCACAGGTTAGGTGGGGGGAGGCGCGCGCGCGCGCGCGTATGTGTGTGTGTGTTCTGTGTGTCCACTTCGTCAGGTCTAGGACTCTAGTGGATGTAGTGGGATCTTGATTACCAGCGCTCAGACACTGGTCAAGATTCCTACCCAAGCCGTACGCATACATGTACGGAGACGGGAGACGGAGAGAGAGAGAGGGGGAGTTGTGGGTTCCGCGACCCTCGGGACCGGCGGTACTTTGCGCCGCACGCACACACTAATGGACTTGGATGATGGAAAACCCTCACTGTTCTGCTAGCTTTCTTTTCCTACTCTTTGCAACCACACTTCCACTTTCTCTGTGTGAAGAAGAAGAAGAAAAAGGGGGGGAAACAGGTCGACTCGCGCTCCATATACGTGGCAGATACGATGGTGCTCCGACCCGTAGAGAGAGGTAGGCAAAAAACTTACAGTGATCGAATGCGCATGTGGTGGGGGACCAGGGAATGGCTTTGTCAGCAGGGTCAGTGTGGACAGGCAGTGGGGGGTAGGGTTTATAAGTAACTAAAATAATAACATTTTCGCCTTCGGGCATTTGGTTTATTTGAAACGATACAGGTAAGCTCCAGAGGAAACCCCCCCCCGAACCGCAAGGTCGTCTGTTCGATTCCGAGTATGGTTGCTAACTGTACCACAGAGAAGATTAGCATGGCCCCTGCACTAAGGATGACACGCTCAATCAAAGAGAAGCTACCAATTTTTTTGCCTTTTTTTTTTTGTTGCCCTTGGGATTTCATTTGTTCTTCTTTTTTTCTTTTTTTCTTTTAATATTCACTCTCCTCTCATGTTTTCTTCTTCTTGTTTCTAAACGGTCTTGTTGGGTGGCTGAAGTCCTGTGAATACGCTTCAGCTTCCCTTCTCCACAGTACCCTCCTGCCCTTGTGTGTAAGTGCCCAACTCACTGCGTCTGCAACTCATCTACATGTACATGATTAGTTCATGGCCTAATTGCGTGACTTCATGATCCGACACTGGTAATATACGGGCAGTATTGCTCGCACCCATCGTAGGGGAATTATCTCGACGGCGACTCGATGGCATGCATCGCCAAGATGATCCCTGCACCGTTGGAGCAGCAGCATGTCCCGGACAGGCCAGATGATCCGAGATGGACGGAACGCGCGAGGCTCTCCTCCCGACACGAGCACTTCCTACCGCCCGACAGCGACGAAAGCAGCAGGACGCCTCTCTTCCCGGCCGAGCTGTAGGCCCGCAGCTCCGCTCAACTTCCTCTCTCCCCACCCATAGCGGTGGTCAGGCAGAGGAGATGGGTCTGCCGGTGTCGTCACTCTCCGCGTCTATCGCGCGCGGCTTCGTCGATGACTCGGAAGCGGCAGCTGCCTTGACCACGCCGGTGAGTCTAGTAGACCCCGACGGGTCACCTCGGACGTGTCCCAGCTGGGGAGGTGGCTGGCTTTCTCCGTCACCGAACGATGTCGCTACTCCCTCTTCGTTTTCTAGAGGAGTGCGAGGCTACGTGGTGGATGGGGAGATAGCCTTGGTCTCCGTGGCGTCTCTGGAGAGCCGTCGTTTTACATACATGACCATGCCACACCAGCTTCTCGTTGTCTGATGCTGGTATGAGGAGAGACGTGGTGCGGAGGATTGACTACCCCGACATCGAGACTTCCTACACGGGGTCATGGAGTGCCGCACGTCGTCGGAATCTCCCGACTTGGACGATTACCTTGTATCGATCAGGTGTTGCATCGTCATTTTCGTGTCTTAGACGTCTGCACTCGGTATACAGATGGCACAGCGGTGATGGAATCACTGCTGCTGGTGCCTGCCGGTAGTATATTCTCTGGAGCTTTAGCTATAACATGATGTGAAGTATTGACTACCTGTACTTTGTTGGTTGGGGTTGGGGTTGGTGGTGGTCCATCAATGGTGAGTCCCCCCCCCCCCCCCCTTGAACGACATTCATATGAAACCCCATTTTCTAAATGTCTTGTACATTGACGTTGTGTAACCCGGCTGTTTTCGTATTGCGTCTCTCTCTCTCTCTCTATGTTTACTTTTCATAGTTCTTCAACTCTCTTCCTAGTCGAACGTTTGGAAACAGGAGTGTTACTTGTCAGCACCTGCAATACTGACGATGTCATGTAATACGCCGATGACAACATGGATGGCATCGCAAGATTGGACCTTTGCATAACGCGTCGACTAGCCGAGACGTGGCCGGCGAAGTACTGAGTCCGAGTGCGGGTGAAGCGAGTAAAGTCGTCGTGGCTTCCGTACTTGGGAGGTTATTCATCTTCCATCGCTTGGCTTCTTTCTAGTCTTTATACTCGTACGCGTGCGGCTTATCTTAGCCTCTGTTTTCTTTTTCTCCTTCTTTTATTCTAGGTTTATTTTTTATTTTTATTTTTATTCTTGTTTTTTTTTTGCGGAGCATGGACAATGTCGAGTGCCAGTGGTACGAGCATACTCGTACGTTTCATCACGGCCATACATGCACACCCCTATTATCGCAAACTTGCAATACCGGAATACTCTACAGAGTTCCCGAGACCAGGGGAGGGGGTGGGAGAGAAGCACAGGACCGAGAGATATTCCTTGCGTCGCCTAGACACTCAAGCATGTCTTGTTTCTACTCCTAGTTAGGACCGTAGTATTATTACGCTTGTATGAATACGATATTGTACGGATAACTTTCTGTCGTTTCTTTCCTTTGACCCCTATACTTCTTTCTCTCTTGCCATTACCCCTTTTTTTCCTCTTCTTTTTTCTAATATTCATTTCATCTTTTCTTCTTCTTCTTCTTCATCTTCATCCTTTCTTCCCAATTCTGCTGTTGAAGGAAAGAGAGAGATATGAAAGAAAGATGGAAAAAAAGATGGAAAAAAAGATGGGGAAAAAAAAAAAGGGCCACGCTTTACCTTCATTCAGTATCTAATTGTTTGAGGATGGACATCATTACGGACTCACTCCGTATCATGATCAGAAATAAGATGCGGGCCAATTCCCACATTACCTTATCAAGACAGCCCGAGTAACTCGCACTTGTACGGCGTACAGACAATGAATACACACACCCTCCCCCCCCCCAGGAGCCCCGCCAAGATGTCGTTTCAAGTGTACTTGCGTACGTACATGTACGGCGTGCTCGTGCTCGTACCTACCCGTACTACTCTCACAGTAAGAAGTGGTGATGGCATGAGCATGGGATTGAAATGCTGGCATGCATCAATCACATGACAGCTGTCTGACAATACGAATCCATCATACCAATGTTCCGGGTGTAGTAGCACAGCGCTGCAGTTCATCTAGAGGTACAGTGATGAGATGGTGTCAGTGCGCTGCTACTCAGTGACCGCTCACTGTAATGGTTGTATATGGGACGGGCAGCTATGGGACTCGTACGTGCAATATGGCATAATACGGGAGTAGGTAGACCGTGCTGCGTAGATATATGTACTCAGTCGTCCGCGATGCTAACCCTAACATCCGCGCCACGTCCTATCAATCAATCAATCAATCCGAGTACTTACATAACACCCCTCCGCAATCTATCAGGGCGGAGCATCGCGCGTGGGGAGAGCAGCTCACTAGGCCCGACTGACTGCTAGCATCAGGAGGTAGCCTGGCCACCATGACTCTACCACCCTCTCTCGAAGCCCATCCATTCTAGTACGATAGACTACTGCTCAGTACGGAGCAATACTCGATATCGTATAGTAGTAGTGCGATTGCACCGTATCAGTACAGCCTCTAGCACATGTACTCCATATGCAGCGACCACTACTGCTAGTATCACTGCCAGCAATCGGCCGGGTTACTTGATGGTACTATTACTCTAGCGGGAAATCGCCATCTTTCTCTCATCTCTTCTTCTTCTTCTTTTATCTATTTTTTCTTGGAAAAAAAAAAGACGAAAAAAAAAACAGAAACAGGACCATCGCATCGTCATGGTGGAGTATTAGCTAGGTCATGCGGAAAGATAATCCGATAGACGGCGGAAATTTCGATGGTCAAGAGGGCGGATTCTACCATCACCATACATGGTAATATTCTGCAGTGGGACATTCATAGAGAAAAAAAAATTTCAAATAAAGAGAGGACGCCATCATCGTACGCATGCATCGTTTACAACGTACACCCCACACATCGAAAGCCCTGGATTAGGGCATACGCGTCTTCTGGGACGCCGTCGAGAACGTCATGCTGCCGTCGCGGGAGGGAGGCTCCGTACATACACCTCTTTTCTCCTCCTCTCAGCGATACCTAACCTCCACCAAGCAGTGGAAGGGAAGCTGTCTGGAAGTCCGTGTCCAGCGTGCATCGAGGGTTTCGGCCGCCCCCCCCCCCCCTCTAGGGTTGGGGCTTTAGGGCAACGGTCGGTCGGGGCGCTGGCGTCGGTAGTCGGGAACAACCCCCCCCCCCTCTCCCTTCTTCGTCAGTGCTTATGGCCGCCGACTTCAACTTTGCGTGATTGAAGTTGGGTCAGTAGTACTGGCGAGCACCTGAGGAGTAAAATCCCATATGATGATGTATTGAATTGATCAATGTTACCCGACTTGACATTTTCAGGTTCTCTGGGCGGTATAGGTATATTATATATACATTATATATATAATGTATATATGTATATATAAATATATATAAATATATATACATATCCAAATATATAAAAGAGACTATTCGTACTAGTCGCGCGGGGATCCGGCGGCAAGGGCTCGTGCTCGTGAGAGGTGGTATATTATCTACTATTACCACCATTCTCTTTTTTTGCTGTTCTGTTTCACGTGGAGAAGGATTGTATGTTGAATAGAGAAAAATAATGGAAATCTTTGACACGTTATTTCTGTTCTGATATTCATTCTGCCGGCCTTGAACTTTGTGCAACGTATAAGAGAATGCACTCAAACTTGGACCGAGATAAAGCTACAAGTACCATGTCGATCCCCTCCCCTCTCCATCTCCACGCCGGCCCAACTTCCTCTTCTCAACATATATACACCCCCCCTGGTACTTCAGGCGTGTCGGTGCCTGCAGTGTTCCTGTCCCAGGAGAATTGTCCCGTTTCATTCCAACCAACAGATGGCCATAGAGACCATGTGCTGTTAATTACCGGGGCGCGGTTGCAATTCGACACATGCCATTATATGCATTAGGAGAGAGAGAGAGCAGAAACGACACATCCATCGGACTCTGACTGTGGGAGGGCAGCAAAAGCCCCCATACTTTCTTCTGATTCTATTCATCTTCATCTCCCCCTTTTTTCACCTTCCACCTTTCTGTCTTTCTTCTTCTCATTTTTATTTCTGTCAACACTCATTGTCCGTAATCATCCTGCCTTCTAACAAGTGAGACGGCCGGTTCTCGTCGTAACGCCATAGATTACGGTACACTGGAGATAGGCCTGTGAGTCAGACTGCGATGTCGGTACCAGGTGAGGATTTACCACCTGATCGCTACCCCATACTTTTGGTCCGACTGCCCAGGGCAATGGGTCGCAGCCGAGTTCGCACCGTCTTGTACAGGTACGAGTGCGTATCCGTTACCCGCACTGCGGTGTACATATACTCGTGAATAGTACCACTCCGGGACACTCTGCGACTGTCAGAAGATGTGTCGCGGTATATCAACGGAGCAAACGTTGTAGTGACGGATTACGGATGCCATCTTCGGGACCGACTGCACTTCCTGCAGTCTCTCGACGTTCTGTCACGGAGCCGGGCTCAGAGTTCAGAGCGCAGACTCTGACCGTTGTAAGCCCTGGGAGTGTTACCGAGCATCAATACTATTAGTATACATGTGGCTGAGCCTCCAGAAGCTCCAAGACGTTCCACAACATTCCAGACAGGCGCACACAACGGAGAGTCCATCTATGCTGTCCCAATGTACCCTGACACTTCTCGTACATGTTATTAAGGCTGCTAACTTGGGCGTCACGCTCTCACAAGTCCGTCTAATAGACTATATAGATTTCATAATGCTAGTCACTAGTGGTAACGATCCAGTTTACTACGAGCACACTCCAACACACCATCGCCAATTTCTTTCAGAGTCTGCTGATGATTTTCCACTCTCTCAACAAACGCCCTCTCCCCCCCCCCCCCCCCCCCCCCCCCCCCCCCCCCCCCCCCCCCCCCCCCCCCCCCCCCCCCCCTCTCTCTCTCCACCTCTCCCTCTCCCTCTCCCTCTCCCCCTCTCTCTCTCCCTCTCTCCCCCCCCCCCCCCCCCCCCCCCCCCCCCCCCTCTCTCTCTCCACCTCTCCCTCTCCCTCTCCCTCTCCCCCTCTCTCTCTCCCTCTCTCCCCCCCTCTCTCTCTTGTTGGGGTATGCCGCTCAGCTTCAGTTTCTTCCCTCTGCACCGTTCCAACTTCCCACATTGAACCACAGGACCGTCGCTCGACCTTGTCCTGGCCATCAAGCGGCCCCCCCCCCCGGGCCTAAGCACAGCTTGTAGTATTACTTGGTGAACACCACCACATAAGCGCAGCCAGCTCCGGTGAGCTTATTATGGACCGAATACCGTACAGCGTATCACTGCTATTACTACCAATTCTCTTTGTCCCGCGCTCAGCCCTGCTGGGGGTACAAGGAGTAGACTCCCACGTTGAATACAGAACAATACCGTCTTTTTTTTTTTTTTTGGTCGTCGTGATCCGGCGCGGGATGATGTGCTGAGGCTAAGACGCGCTGGGACACAGTCCTTCCTAATTACGGGTAGAGTCACCAATGTACGGCGATAATGCTCGCTCGATGATCATGCTGGCGAACTCCGCAGTACGGCATTTGGTTCTTCCCATCCTTCAGGGAACCAGCAACTCCCCATGTCGGCTGAAGATGGAACCTTGGTCTGGTGGCCATCCATTACTGTCTTTTGGTCATGAGGGCGACGCGCGCGTGAAGTAGGTAGGTGGTAGCACAGGTTGCGCTTACCTCTCTGTACGGAGGAGTTATCAAGTAATAGATACTGACGGAGCTGTAAATGGGAAGGAGCCGTTCTGCCTACCTACTGGTACAGTAGCATTATGATTATCTTGCGCCACCATAACCTCCCCCCCTCCCTCCTACGAGTACTCCCCCTCTCCCCCCCTCGTTCTCACCTGAGCCACACCACCGTCATGGATATCTACTCCGTCTAGTTGCAATACTCGTATGAGCGCTCATGCGAGTAGCTCCCACCAAGTAGTAACGTGAGTGCTTTTGCACTGACGTGTCTGCTGGTACCTGCAAGTACCTGCTCGGAGCATGTCCCCACCATTCATCTACACCCCTCCCCCATCTGGCCAGTCATCGTGTCCAGGGAGGAGAGTGAGCATGATCTTAGCCGAGAGGGAGGTACAAGGGGTACACCAATTTTTCGGCTGGTAATAATGCTGCTACTGCTGCCGCTGCCGCTGCTGCTACTGCTATTGCTACTGCTACTGCTGCTGCCGCCGCCGCTGCTTCTCCCTCCTCCCTCCCTCCTCCCTCTGTTGGCCTGGGCGCGGAGGTTTGCGTGTACTCTGACCTCTACAGGTACGCCCAAGTGCACCAACGCGGGCGGGACTCCCCTCCGACGTCCTCTGCGACCCCCTCCTTCCTTTCCCTCCCTCTTTGTCACCTTTTTTCTCTACCTTCCTCGCCACCCGCGCCTTAGTCTCCCATTTAAAAAAAGAACACTACACCTGAAAAGAAAGAGACAGCAAGGGAACATGATAAAGGTACGAGGTACGACGGCTGCTGGCAACATCCCCGTATTCGGTATTGCTATCATCGCCCCTATCGGTACCATCGCTCTGTATCTACGACTCGTACCAGGTACATTTTATCATCCTTTTCCCCCCTCTGCTCTACGCTCCACACCCACCCCCCCCCTCTCTCTCTCCTCCCCGGGGCCACACACACCCTCCCCCCCGTTGAGCAGTTATGCCAGGTTCCAAGCGCTCCTCAAAATAATTATTTCTCGTTTCCCTTGCTGGCGTGACCGACCCGTGTCCCTTCCACAACTTTAATATTTTTTTTTTCCTTTCTGATTGTCTCCTTGGAACAATTTGCCCAACTTACTTCTTCTTCTTTCTTCTCTTCACCTACCACTCTTTTTGCTTCAACCTCGCTTCCTTCGATGACATTGCAGTTCTACGGCGGACCTGCGCTCCTGTGTTATTGAGCCTAACCCCACTACGTGTCCGCCGCAATGGCTTCCTCAAGAGTATGATTGTGTCCCCCTCCTCACAGGTTGCCCCCTTCTGTCCTGTCGGTCGTGGAAATTTTTTGCGTGTTCGGTCGTGTTCTCGCCAGGCGAGGTTACCTGGATCTGCTGTGGAAAAGGACGGTGATCGTCCTTCATGTGCTTTGGGAGGCCTGTTGGTGTCACGGACGGACCCCTCGGACCGCATCTCGCAATCACTCCCCTCTGACTTGCGTTGCTGACATCGGTATCCTGTGCCCCTCCAACAGGAAATGAACCAGACGACGACGACGAGGCCACTGGCCCATCGACCGACCGCCCCCAATTCTCCTCCCACCGGTGGTCTGCCTGGCCGCCAGACTCACGCCCGCAACAACTCCAACCCCCACGGCCACTCGCTCCTCACCACCTCGCTTAACCCGAACCACCGCATCACCAGGCGAAAGTCGGTCACCGGCCCCAATGCCAACATTGCCGCTCTGGCCGCTGCCGTCCGCGACGCCGAAGCCCTGGGCGCCGATCCCGCTTCCAACCCCTCGGCACGAAGGAACACGCTGTCCAAGCTCTCCCTGGGCCGTATCGGTCTCGGGAACCTGCCGTCGCCACCGTCCAGCCTCCCCAACAAGGGTGGCATAGCCGACATCGACAAGCCCGGCACGACAGACAGCGCCATCGAGGACGGCGCTGACCTGTCGGCCGATGACGGTAGCACTGACAGTGACCAGAACAGCCGTAGCAGGCGTGCCAGCGACGGCCAGCCCCTGACCAAGGATGGCAAGAAGAGCAGCGGCAATAGCCGCGTTGAGCTCAAGTGCAAGAAGTGCGGCAAGGGCTACAAGCACAGCAGCTGCCTGACGAAACACCTGTTGGTCTCCCCCATGTCCCCCCCTCACCCTCGTAGACACACGTTCTGGGCCGGCCCCGCCGCCGGCCCCAGGCAAAAGTGTACAGCCTCCCCCCTAGCCAGTGTGGGATGAAGACACAGCCGTTCTTTGATCAGACTTGTTGACTTCACTGGATTAGGTGGGAACACACCCCCGAGTGGTCCCTCACCTCCAAGCTTCTCATCTCCAAGCACCAGCAGGTGCAGCTCCTGGAGGCTGCCTCTGTCCTGGTTGCCATGAACGAGACCCACCCTGCCGCCCCCGGCCAGGACGGCGCCGCGGCCGCCACCAGCCCGCCCGACTCCACCAGGGACTTCATCAGCGACCCCGAGTCGGCCTCGCCCACCGCCTCGGGCTACTCGGACCAGGCCGACCGCCTGAGCTCAGCCGACACCACGCCGCCGCCCACCATGGACGATGGCGGCCACATGTACGGCCTGCCGTTTGGCAGCAGCAGGCGCCACGGCAACGTAGGCGGTGGCTTCTCGCGAAGCTACCAGTCGGTGCCGTCGCTAGCGCCTGGTAGCCTACCCGGTGCCAACCCCGGCGGTTTCGGCCACGCCCCTCGCACGAGTGAGCACCGTCCGTCGTCTTCGGGTATCAACAACACCGGCCAGGATGACCGCGACCTGGCCGCCGCGGTCGAGCTCCTGAGCTGCAGCTTCAACAGCAGCAACGCCCCCAGCGGCAACCTCAACGGAGGTGGCGGAGTCGGAAGCAGCGGCATCAGCATCGGTGGGTCAAACGGTACCGTGATGCTTGCCGACGCCCCACCCGTACCTCCTGTCCCGGCCCAGTACCTGGACCGAGCCACTTCGATTGGCAGTGGACCCTTTGTCAGCAGCTTCCCCGGCCGGCAGCCGGAGAGCTTCACGCGCGGCGACGTCGGACGGGGCAGCGAGGACGTCAAGATGGGCGACCACCACGACTCTGGTCTCGACGACGACGACTTTGACATGCAGTCCCGTGCTCGAAGCGATGAAGAAGACGACGGAGTTTTTGGATGTATGGAGGAATAGGGTCCTCATATGGCTGGTCTCTACCACTCTTCTTCTTAGTCGACCTTCTCTCTCTCTCTTCTTCCTTACCTTTTATATGTTGTCCCTGGCGGAGGGACTGGCGCAAGACAACGTGGGCGGGAGCATTCTCAATGGGAAATTTCGGAGGGACGGGTTTATTTTCGGGATTGGGGGTTTTTTTTCCATCTTTTTTTTTCGTTTGTTTTCTGAGCTGCTCGGGATATGATATCGAGCAAATGGGTCTGCTATATGGCGTTGCCAGACACACAAACACGACACACAACACTCAACACAACAACACAACAACACAACAACACAACCACACAACCACACAACCACACAACCACACAACAACACAACAACACAACAACACTACAACACTCAAACGGATTACTCACAGACTTGTATCAATGGCGGGCGGAAAGACAAGCTGGGAATTTTTGGGACCGTTGTCTGGTGGAACACACTGATATTCCCTCTTCGGGTCGTCGACGTCGTTCTCCTTTGTATCATCATCGAATCATGCCATCCGACATATAGTTGGTATGGAGGGCGGTTTCGCTCCGCCGCTCATTCTTGGCACCGAAGAGTAGAGGGCCCGTCTGAGGGAGAGATCTCCCTTGACAGACGCGAGTGCATCTCCACGAGGTTAAAGTGAAGATTCGAGCGAGCGTCGAGCAAACGCTCAACAAAAATATATTAAAAAAATCTTCATAAAGAGAAAAAAAATAACCAAGAAGAAGGAATGCATCGAATTGCAGTGATGTTAATATGTTAATAGTAGAAGGGCATAGGAAACAAGTGACAAGATGAAGAGAGAGGAAGAGGAGAGGGAGGAGGAGAGCACGTCTTCTTATCAGGTGTACGGAGTACGCATGTAGTTAAGTCTAGTAGATGAAGTGGAGTAATATTTTTAACTCTCAGGGCGTAAGTAGCTAGACATGCACGGCTAAGAGGTGATTGATTCATGAGATGGGGAAGTGTTTTTGTAAATGGGAGATTTGAATGGTGGAGGACTTGTCAGCTATAAGAGAGAGTAGAAAGAGAGGGTAGGAAGAGAGTGGGAAAGGGAAGAGACGACAAGAATCTCAGTAGAATAAATCAAAGTGTAAGTGCACGGGAATAGTGGGAGGAAGCTCTGAAAAGTACACGACGTCACGTCTCCCCCCCCCCCCCCCCCCCCCAAAAAAAAAAAACAAAGACAAAAAAGAACAAGGCCTCTCAGCCTCAGCCCAGCAGCAGCTCTCTATCTTCTCTCTCTCTCTTCGCCTCCCAATCCTTTTTTTTTTTTTGCTCCACCCCCCTCACTTACGCCGTCGTTTTTTTTTCCATCTTGGAGACGCGGAGAAAAGATATTGAACGTTGTATATTAGTTCTAGACAAATTGTCATTTGTCCTCTTCTCTCTCTTCTTTTTCTCTTGACTTTTTTTTTCTCTTCGACAACCACCCGAACGAAGAAGACGCGACATCGACAAAAAAAAAACACACACGTCACCACCCGACAGTAGAAAACATCAATACAGAACCACCAACACCCAGAGATGCCCCCACGACGAGCCAAGGCCGAATCGGCCGGTTCGAAGAAACAGTCCGACGTCTCGGCCTCTACATCCGCCTCTGACGTTGCTACTCCCAAGTCAAAGGGTACCAGGAGCAGAGCTAAATCGATATCCAAGACTGCTACTGCTGTAGCTGCAGCTACTCCCAAGGCTGTGACGACTCCCAAAGCTGCTGCTGCTGCTGCTCCTGCTGCTCCTGCTGCTGCTGCTCCTGCGACGCCCAAGGTTTCAACTCCCAAGATTTCAACTCCCAAGCCTTCAACTCCCAAGATTTCAACCCCCAAACCTTCAACTCCCAAGCCTGCACCAAGGAGGACATCTACATCTGCCTCGGCCAACGGCGAAAAGTCCAAGACTAAGAGTCGCGTCGCGATCGATGGCGGCGGCAGTGGAGGAATCGCGAGCAAACTCCCCGAATGGTCGCGCTTCCCAGCCGTCGCGCTGACGAGTTTCGGACTGGCTAGTCTGGGGTACAGCGTCCTCGGGGCCGTGACGAACGGGGAGTTGCAGGCTAGGAGCCGGCTCCAGGAGTCGTGGGGTGAGGTCGGGGTGCTGGCGGGATGGAGACTGTAAATTCCTCCCCCTTCCCTCCCAGGGGCTACAGCTACGATGCCAGGGGAAGACGAAGATGCTAACCCTCGACACAGGGTCGAACTCGCGGTCGGCTGGTTCGGTAACCTCGACAGCCTGGATGTTGCGACGCTGAATCTCCTGTCCCACGGACCTCCTGTAAGACGGGCCACGTCCCCCCCCCCCCCCCCCCCCCCTCCCCTGGTGCAGGTTGATAACTTGGACTGACGGGCACCGATAACAAACAGCTCTACCTCCTCACGACCTTTTACGAACTCTCGCCCCTGACGGCCATGCTCTCCTTCGCCCTGGACGTGGCCTCGGCGGCGGTGCCGTTCTACGCGCTCCGCCCGCTGTCGGCGGTGCACACGCGGTCGGCGCGCCTGCCCAACCGCGAGCTCGCCGGCCTGGGCCTGCAGCTGTACACGGCCGCGCTGGCGACGGCGGTGTACACGGTCGTCATGACGCTGTCGCTGCGTTTCGCCCTCCCGCGTGCCCTGGCCGTGTACTTCTCCGGCCTGCCGTCGCTGGAGCCGGCCTACGGCGCCTCGTACTGGTCCCTGCTGCCGGCGACGGTGCAGTTCGGCGCCGCGGCCTCGAGCTTCATATACGCGCCCTTTGCGACGACGGGCCGTGCCAAGGACGACGACCGCATCGCCCAGTTCGACCCGGCCGCGGCGTCGCTCCGCGAGACGGTCGAGTGGAACTTTCTCGGGTACACGGCCAAGACCAAGGTGGTCGTCGGGCGCACCGCGCTCGCCGTCGCCGTCACGGCCGTCAACACGGCCATCGCATGCCGCATGACCATCTACGGCGTCGAGGTGGCGGGCGCGGTCGCTTACGCTGCAGCTTGGGCGGTTGCCACGGCTTGCGTCGGTGCCGGGTTGGCGTTTGTCGGAGGGTATGAGTAGGCTGGCCGGGGTGGATCAATATATATATATATATATATATATAT